CTTATCGAGTAGCTGGTTGACACATTCTTCACAAAGCACTTTGTGACCACAAGGTACAAGTGCATGTGTTCGTGTATTATCTCTACACAATACACAAACTGTATCATCATTCAAATTAACTTCCGGATGGTTACGATTAACTTGAACATATGGAATATCAGCAGGTTGACCCCTACCGTACACTTCCTGCCACATTACTAAGGCCAAATCTTCCGGAACAAAAAAGTATAAAAAATGTTATTATTTGCCTTACAGTCATGTTCTTCTGGCTCACGGTTTTCCTCTAGTACTTGGTTGGGCAGCTCTTGAAGTTGTAAATGTATTGATTATTCTAAAGTGTACCCTGTATTACTAAGAGGACAACGGTTATCGAGTAGCTGGTTGACACATTCATCACAAAGCACATTGTGACCACAAGGTACAAGTGCATGTGTTCGTGTATTATCTCTACACACTACACAAACTGTATCATCATTCAAATTAACTTAGGGATGGTTACGATTAACTTGGACTTATGGAATATCCTCAGGTTGATCCCTACCGTACACTTCCTGCCACATTACTAAAGCCAAATCTTCCGGAACAAAAAAGTCATGTTCATCCCCTAGTATAGAATTCAAAAGATATATTAGAGTATCAAAAATATACCAATTTAAATAATATATAAATGTTTTTATTTTCCTTACAGTCACGTTCTTCTGGCTCACGGTTTTCATCTAGTGCTCGGTTAGGCAGCTCTTGATGTTGTAAATGTATTGATTATTCTAATGTTTACTCTGTATTACTAAGAGGACAACGCTTATCGAGTAGCTGGTTGACACATTCTTCACAAAGCACTTTGTGACCACAAGGTACAAGTGCATGTGTTCGTGTATTATCTCTACACACTACACAAACTGTATCATCATTCAAATTAACTTCCGGATGGTTACGATTAACTTGGACTGATGGAATATCCTCAGGTTGATCCCTACCGTACATTTCCTGCCACATTACTAAAGCCAAATCTTCCGGAACAAAAAAGTCATGTTCATCCCCTAGTATAGAATTCAAAAGATATATGAGAGTATCAAAAATATAGCAATTTAAATAATATATAAATGTTTTTATTTTCCTTACAGTCACGTTCTTCTAGCTCACGGTTTTCATCTAGTGCTCGGTTAGGCAGCTCTTGAAGTTGTAAATGTATTGATTATTCTAATGTTTACTCTGTATTACTAAGAGGACAACGCTTATCGAGTAGCTGGTTGACACATTCTTCACAAAGCACTTTGTGACCACAAGGTACAAGTGCATGTGTTCGTGTATTGTCTCTACACACTACACAAACTGTATCATCATTCAAATTAACTTCCGGATGGTTACGATTAACTTGAACATATGGAATATCTGCAGGTTGATCCCTACCGTACACTTCCTGCCACATTACTAGGGCCAAATCTTCTGGAACAAAAAAGTCATGTTCATCCCCTAGTATAGAATTCAAAAGATATATTAGTGTATCAAATATATAGCAATTTAAATGATATATAAATGTTATTATTTTCCTTACAGTCACGTTCTTCTGGCTCACGGTTTTCATCTAGTGCTCGGTTAGGCAGCTCTTGAAGTTGTAAATGTATTGATTATTCTAATGTTTACTCTGTATTACTAAGAGGACAACGCTTATCGAGTAGCTGATTGACACATTCTTCACAAAGCACTTTGTGGCCACAAGGTACAAGTGCATGTGTTCGTGTATTATCTCTACACACTACACAAACTGTATCATCATTCAAATTAACTTAGGGATGGTTACGATTAACTTGGACTAATGGAATATCCTCAGGTTGATCCCTACCGTACACTTCCTGCCACATTACTAAGGCCAAATCTTCCGGAACAAAAAAGTCATGTTCATCCCCTATTATAGAATTCAAAAGATATATTAGAGTATCAAAAATATAGCAATTTAAATAATATATAAATGTTTTTATTTGCCTTACAGTCATGTTCTTCTGGCTCACGGTTTTCATCTAGTACTTGGTTAGGCAGCTCTTGAAGTTGTAAATGTATTGATTATTCTAAAGTGTACTATGTATTACTAAGAGGACAACGCTTATCGAGTAGCTGGTTGACACATTCTTCACAAAGCACTTTGTGACCACAAGGGACAAGTGCATGTGTTCGTGTATTATCTCTACACACTACACAAACTGTATCATCATTCAAATTAACTTCCGGATGGTTACGATTAACTTGGACTTATGGAATATCCTCAGGTTGATCCCTACTGTACACTTCCTGCCACATTACTAAGGCCAAATCTTCTGGAACAAAAAAGTCATGTTCATCCCCTAGTATAGAATTCAAAAGATATATTAGAGTATCAAATATATAGCAATTTAAATGATATATAAATGTTATTATTTTCCTTACAGTCACGTTCTTCTGGCTCACGGTTTTCATCTAGTGCTCGGTTAGGCAGCTCTTGAAGTTGTTAATGTATTGATTCTTCTTAATTGTACCCTTTATTACTAAGATTACAACGCTTATCGAGTAGCTTGTTGACACATTCTTCACAAAGCACTTTGTGAACACAAGGTACAAGTGCATGGGTTCGTGTATTATCTCTACACACTGCACAAACTGTATCATCATTCAAATTATCTTCCGGATGGTTACGATTAACTTGGACATATGGAATATCCTCAGGTTGATCCCTACCGTACACTTCCTGCCACATTACTAAGGCCAAATCTTCCGGAACAAAAAAGTCATGTTCATCCCCTAGTATAGAATTCAAAAGATTTATTAGAGTATCAAAAATATAGCAATTTAAATAATATATAAATGTTTTTATTTGCCTTACAGTCATGTTCTTCTGGCTCACGGTTTTCATCTAGTACTTGGTGAGGCAGCTTTTGAAGTTGTAAATGTATTGATTATTCTAAAGTGTACTATGTATTACTAAGAGGACAACGCTTATCGAGTAGCTGGTTGACACATTCTTCACAAAGCACTTTGTGACCACAAGGGACAAGTGCATGTGTTCGTGTATTATCTCTACACACTACACAAACTGTATCATCATTCAAATTAACTTCCGGATGGTTACGATTAACTTGGACTTATGGAATATCCTCAGGTTGATCCCTACCGTACACTTCCTGCCACATTACTAAGGCCAAATCTTCCGGAACAAAAAAGTATAAAAAATGTTATTATTTGCCTTACATTCATGTTCTTCTGGCTCACGGTTTTCATCTAGTTTTTGGTTAGGCAGCTCTTGAAGTTGTAAATGTATTGATTATTCTAAAGTGTACTCTGTATTGTACTTATAATGATGGGTGGAGGAGGTTTGACTTTTTGTTCGGCTTCGGTGTCCGAGTTGATATCAATGAGAATTTCATCGGCATTTTCGGTTTCATCATTTTCGTTTACAAGTACGGCGTATTTATTTGAAGATGCGAAAATAGGTTTATTTTTTTTTGGTTGTTTCCGTTTTTTCATTTGAGTTAGATGAGAGATTTCGTTTAGTTTTGTGCTGGACTGTTGTAAAATCGGTGTCCACTGGTAACCTACCACTGCAGAATCCGTGTAGGGGGGAAGCCGGGAGCTCCTCTCCGACGCTGATTTTTTTTTCGGTTAACTTTTTTATTTCTTTTTATTTTAATAACATTATTCTGTTATATTCTGTATATTAACCCTTCGTACCTGTACTTCCTCGGATATGACTTTGCACACCCGTCATCGGCGACCTGGAGGTCCGCGTCCCAAACTGACTACGGATTATTGTATTGTCATCCAAGACCAAGGTCTATACCAATTTTCAGATAAGTGCCTATAAGTCAATAAGTGTCAATAAGTGCCTCAAATTGAGCGCGCAAGATTTGATTACAGACAAACAGACAAACAGACGTGAAAGTGAACTTAAAAAAAGTGTGTAAAAATGGGAAAATTTCAAAAAAACTGTTAAATCAAAAGTATGCAACGAAAAAAAATATGTCCGGTAAATAAGATACTGGTGGAGGTCCACCTATTCCAGCAACATCTTTTTCTGCGACAGAAAACTAAATACTTTCCCTTATAATCATACAAGCTACGGGAGATGATGCCTTATTTGATTGCGATGCTGTTTCAGGTATATATTTACTTTTTATACAATTTTTATAATTATAGTAATAATTATCTTTTGAATTTATTTTTAGATTTAGAGGCTTCAACATGGATTGATACAGTTCCAAGGAAAAGCAGTTCTCCAGATGATGACACTGTATTGAAAACTGTACCCGTTTCTCAGCCATTATTGATTACTATACTATCAGATATTTATTCCGTGAGTCTACTGAATAAATATTATTGTAGAAAAATTTACGAGTTTAGATTTGTATAGGTATAATAGTATATAATTAGGTACTTTTTATTATTAGGCTTATGGTGGAAATGAAACGTTATCAAAAGAAATAATAATAGATTTAACTATGAGATCAGACATTACACGTAAATATATTATTGATATTATATTTATTATAATATTTAAAAAATAAAAATCTTTATTTAAATATAATAAGCTATTTATTCAAATATTTGATTGGGATGTAATTTTATTATGTGTATATAAACTCTCAGAAAAATATTATAGATAGGAATGTGAAACATTAGCAAAACTTATAAAATAAAAATTATTTTGATAACAATTGATTTGTTATTTAAAATTTTTTGTCATAGCTCTCCAAAAAAAAGTGAAAACATCTGGCACAATAACCAACAATGAATTAGCTGATGAGAAAAAAAAACAAGTTTATTAAAAAATTAAAAGTTGAAGATTGAAATGCTGCATTTACAGGAAGAGCACGATTTGAAAATTCAAATTTTACAATGTGAATTAGCTATTAAAAAAAAAAACAACTCGAGATGCTATACTTTAAATTTTACTAGTCAATTTTTTTTACTAATTTTTACTAATACTTCTTAATAAAAACTATATGTATATAAATTTAACTAGTTACTAAAATAAATTAAATTAAATTTTGAAAGTACTGAATGTAAGGGTTTCTTATATTATTATTTTGTGGTCTATTTACTACTCCGTCATCAGCTACATTATTTACATAATTAACAGCCGCCTCTAAATCAGCTGACAAATTTAGTAGTACAATATCTTTTTCAATTACAGCTATTTTATGTAAAATAGCTGTTGCTACAATGAGTGCTTGTGTTTTCCACACTTGTAATCTAATACAAACAGCTAAAATTGGAAAACGACGTTTCCATACACCAAATGTCCTTTCTATAGGATTTCTTGTTCGTATTTGTGACTCGTTAAACAAATTTTCTGCCGGTGTTTGAACAGTCAATATTGGTGTGATGCAATATTTTGTCAGCGCATATCCATTATCAGCTAGTAGTATACCGTTTCCAAAATTACCACGTTCAAACATCGCACAAATTTTCGAATTTTTGAAAATTCGAGATTCGTGAGCAGAACCTTGCCAATAACTAAAATAACAATATCCAAAAACTTCAAATCTGAGCAACATATAGCTTGAACATTAATAGAAAAAAGTTGTTTCCTATTTCTGTAAGTTTCAGCATTATTTCCCCCTGTAATAAATATAACAAAATAATTAAGAGTTACTAACTTTCAATAATTTTACTTTCACTTTTTATATGTTTTGATAGACGAAATCGATTATAAAATTCAATCTCATCCCAAGTACTGAAATGATCTAATCGGTTTCTATAAATTCGCTTTTTTCTTGGGCGATTCAATCGTTCAATAAAGTTAACAATGTCTTCATCGTCACTTGACAGTGCTGAATCCAATATGTAAAGTATAATTTCATTCATTTTGAAAATTAAAACATACAAGTACAACACAATTACTTAATTTAACTTGAATAGTTGAATAGTTAAAAAATATAGATTTGAAACAATTTTTACTTATAAAATCACACAACACAATGATTATCATTGAGAAAATAAAACATAATGACAGATAAACTCCACATTAGGTATGGTTAGTTTAAGTAAGCTTTAGCAAGTTAAGTATTACTTAAGGTGTTAAAGTATAATGACATTCGAATATATTAATTTAAGTTTAGCTTATGGTTAAGTTATAGCTTAAGTGGAATATGAAATACCGTTCCTAAGCCGCTCATCAAACTAAGTTCCACTTATGTGCTCTCCGCCTCACCAAAGTTATCCTCCAAAATTAAGAGGACGGTACACCCACATGTGTTGTCTGCGCCTTACAAACGGACAACATGAAATATTGTATGTTCACAATACATAACAGTTATAACTCATTTTATTCTGTTATTTTTAAAAATAGAGTGAATGACCTCTTCATAAAAACTAAATGTAAGATTTTAATAATTATTAGAATCAAAAATTATGATTAATATAAACATTTAAAATTTTTAAGTGTACATTTTGTAGAACTACTGAAGTGCTGTATGTATGTAATAGTGCTTTGTTACGTTATTGTCAGATAGATTACAAACATCCCACGCAGTACCTACCTAGAGTTTAGAATTTTTCGGTCGGATTTGGAGAAGTTATTATAGTATAATTATTATTTGTTACTATTAGGTAGCGACTTATATAGATGTGTTTATCAAGTAATATCTCTAATTATTTTAGTGCAATGAGGCTATAGATTTCATTAGACGACTATATTATCGATGTCTTTTTCAAGAAATATTAATTTTTACTTTTTATATGTTCACTATTTCCTAAATAAATAAAAAATTATTAATACATTTTACAATTTGCCTTGATTATTTTTTAATCACGGGTGCTGCGAGAGTATGAGAAAGGGCACTCGGATAGATTTTTATACTCAACAATACTATACCATTCACATGTATTGAAAGTTTTTTATGTGTGAGAAGAATTTAAACTGTAAAAAAAGGTGGGTTAAGAGGGCATTGAAAAAAATACCATCCAGATCAGCAAAATCCCAAAGGTGCCATTGGTACTGAGAGGCGCTTATTAAATGATATAAACCAACATTTGTTTTTTTGACATGACCAAATTACGCCACTGAATAATAAATAGGTAAAGAGTTTTTACAATGAACTAAGATAGTATAGGTATTTTTGACAGGGTTATCAACTATCATAAAAAAATCATTAAATTGAATATTAATATGTTATTGAATAGGTACAACTTTATGAAATAATAATTACAAAGTTACAATATTATTTCAATAAAATAAAACGCTACATCCACCCTCTAATTATTATTTATTTTCATTAGAAACGGTATTTTCAAAATAGAAAACTTTCATTGCACAATCCCACCAAATTCCTTCACTGAATAATAGATAATAATTGTACTTTTACTGTTATTAATAATATTATATTATAATATATGCAGTTTTTGACTTTGGTGCACTAATCAGAATACTAGTATTTATTTAAGTATTGTTAACATAATAAATATAATATTTACCTATATGATATGTTGCTTGTTGTCTTAATTTAACAGTATTGTCTCTGTAGAGTCCCTAAAATCACTAGGTACCTAACTAGTCATGGTATACAATGTCATATACATTGAGTTAAGACATTTATACATTATTCAAATGGAATAATTACAGCTGGTGCTTGGTAAACCTGATATCATAGGCACCTACTTAAATAAATAAATGGTATCTACGTGTTGTAAAATATTCTTTATAATTTTTACAATCAAGTTTCTTATTTAACGGAAACTAGTAGGTGGGAAACGCAACAAAAAACTCCCGTTTTGTTATTCTTCTTAAAACAAAATTTTTACAACAGCTTATTTATAAGTTATTAAATTGAGTTCAATATATTTTGTTTCAAGAAATAGTGTAATTTTATCATTTGAACGTCTGAAGGTTAACAAATTTATTTCTGATATTTTTTATTACTGAGCCTTTGTTTAAAGTCGATACTGATTCCGTCAGCATTTGTTTAGACGGAGAAATATCTTTAGTAGTATTGTCCTTTAAACATATGATATAATGTGTATTTTGTTTTCGATTTCCATGTAGGATATTTTCAGGTTCTGGGATGATCAGAGATTTTTTTATATTGGTCTTTGAACATGATATTTTATGCAAATTTGACTTCCTTTTATCCAATTTAGGTTGTTCAATTTTCTGACTTATGTCTACAGATAATCTATTAGATTTTTCAGCATTTACCGAACGTGTCTGCACATTTTGTATACGATCTCCACCGGGACCTTGCTTTTTAATTATTGAAGACTGCCAGTTTATTGTTGTGTTCGACTAAATTGTAGAAGTAAATAAATATTATTAATATTATATTATTTGAAATAAATAATTGTTTACAGTTTACACAAGAAATATAGTTAGTTAATGTTTTACCGATATTTGTAAAACGAGGCGGGGTGATTATCCTTATCAGTTATCAGTACCTACTACCAACAATGATACAATATGAGTTATAAACCTATATATTACTAAAGACTATAACGATTTTCTATGGCTACTGTAATTAGGTATATGTTTTAAATTTGGAATTATAGGTAGGTTCTACATAAATTATACAATACACGATCAGTCTACGTTTAATTGGTATTTAAAATCACGATTCACGAATTATTTCAAGTAGCTAATAAATAAGTATAAAAGGTTTAATTTTAAAATACAATTTAAGTATTTTAGTTAATAAACATATTAAAAAAAGTCTTCACCTACTTATACTATTAAAAAAAAAAATATTTTTACTCATCTACATACTATTAAACACTGTCTGTTTATAACTTACTTTTTGCTCTCTCTTGGATAAGTTAATTATTGATTTATTTCTCAGCGATTTTTCAAAATCTCTCATTTTATATTGATACTCCGTATATTTCATCACATAAAAGTATGACTTTCGTAGTAATCTATTCGCCGAATACCTCTTGGATGGATCATAAACTATCATATCTATGATTAACTCATATGCCGGGTGGTATGGTTGGTACACTGAATTCAGTCCAACTCCAGTGATTCTGTCATTTCGTTTATTAGTTTCGTATCGTGCAACGAACACATCAGATTTATATTTTTTAAATTTATCAATTAATCTTTGGTCTGGAGAGCCTAATACCCGGTCAATCTTTTCAATTTGGTCATTTTCGTCTCGACCATCGAACAACGGATGACCAGTAGCTATTTCATAAAGTACACATCCCGTTGCCCAAATATCCATCTTTGAATTGTACCAACCTTTTGTTAACAAGCATTCAGGTGAGCGGTACCATCTAGTTGCCACGTATTGTTCGTATCGATGGTCATAAATGGGAATGGCTTGACATGTGGTATATATAAGCAGTATGGTAAAGATAAGCGAGCAAATACGGGTTACGGTGTTTTTTATTACGGAACCTTTGTTTAACGTTGATACTGATTCCATCAACATATGTTTTGACCGAGAAATATCTTTTGTAGTATTGTCCTTTGAACATATTATATTATTTGTAATTCTCAGCAATTTTTCAGAATCTCTCGTTTTATATTCATACACCGTATATTTCATCTCATAAAAGAATGCCTTTCGTAGTAATTGATTCACCGAATAAATCTTGGATGGATCATAAACTATCATATCTATGATTAACTCATATGCCGGGTGGTATGGTTGGTACACTGAATGCACTCCAACTCCTTTGATTCTGTCATTTCGTTTATTATTTTTGAATCGTGCAACGAACACATCACATTTATAACATTTAAATTTATCAATTAATTTTTGGTCTGGAGAGCCTAATACCCGGGCAATCTTTTCAATTTGATCATTTTCGTCTCGACCATTGAACAACGGATAACCGGTAGCTATTTCCTTAAGGAAACGTCCCGTTGCCCAAATATCCATCTTTAAATCGTACCAACCTTTTGTTAACAAGCATTTGGGTGAGCGGTACCATCTATTTTCCACAAATTGTATGTACTGATATCCATAAATAGGAATGGCTTGACATGTGGTATAGATAAGCAGTATTATGGTATAGATAACCGAGCAAATACGGGTTACGGTTTTTTTTATAACGGAGCCTTTGTTTAACGTCGATACTGATTCCGTCAACATTTGTTTTGACGGAAAAATATCGTTTGTATTGTCCTTTGAACATATGACATAATGTGTATTTTGTTTTTGATTTCCATGAAGGATATTTTCAGGTTCTGGGATGATTATAGATTTTTTTATATTGGTCTTTAAACATGATGTTTTATGCAAATTTGACTTCCTTTTATCCAATTTAGGTTGTTCAATTTTCTGACTTATGTCTACAGATAATCTATTAGATTTTTCAGCATTTACCGAACGTGTCTGCACATTTTGCATAAGATCTCCACCGGGACCTTGCTTTTTAATTATTGAAGACTGACTGTTTATTGTTGTGTTCGACTAAATTGTAGAAGTAAATACATATTATTGATATTATATTATTTGAAATAAATAATTGTTTACAGTTCACACAAGAAACATAGTTAGTTAATTTTTTACCGATATTTGTAAAACGAGGCGGGGTGATTATCCTTATCAGTTATCAGTACCTACTACCTACAATGATACAATATGAGTTATAAACCTATATATTACTAAAGACTATAACGATTTTCTATGGCTACTGTAATTAGGTATATGTTTTAAATTTGGAATTATAGGTAGGTTCTACATAAATTATACAATACACGATCAGTCTACGTTTGATAGGTATTTAAAATCACGATTCACGAAATATTTCAAGTAGCTAATAAATAAGTATAAAAGGTTTAATTTTAAAATACAATTTAAGTATTTTAGTTAATAAACATATTAAAAAAAGTCGTCACCTACTTATACTATTAAAAAAAATATATTTTTACTCATCTACATACTATTAAACACTGTCTGTTTATAACTTACTTTTTGCTCTCTCTTGGATAAGTTGATTATTGATTTATTTCTCAGCGATTTTTCAAAATCTCTCATTTTATATTGATACTCCGTATATTTCATCTCATAAAAGTATGATTTTCGTAGTAATCTATTCGCCGAATACCTCTTGGATGGATCATAAACTATCATATCTATGATTAACTCATATGCCGGGTGGTATGGTTGGTACACTGAATTCAGTCCAACTCCAGTGATTCTGTCATTTCGTTTATTAGTTTCGTATCGTGCAACGAACACATCAGATTTATATTTTTTAAATTTATCAATTAATCTTTGGTCTGGAGAGCCTAATACCCGGTCAATCTTTTCAATTTGGTCATTTTCGTCTCGACCATCGAACAACGGATGACCAGTAGCTATTTCATAAAGTACACATCCCGTTGCCCAAATATCCATCTTTGAATTGTACCAACCTTTTGTTAACAAGCATTCAGGTGAGCGGTACCATCTAGTTGCAACGTATTGTTCGTACTGATGGCCATAAATGGGAATGGCTTGACATGTGATTCCAAAATCACCAATCTTTAAAATCTTGTCCCTCGAAGTGAGCAAAATATTTTCTGGCTTGATATCCCTGTGGATAAAGCCATTCTCGTGCAAATACCTTAAGCCTTTACAAAACGTTCTATTGAATAATAATTATTATTATAATTTGTTACAACAATTATACCTTCTAACATTTGATACATATAAGTTTTAATTCTATATTCCGATAGTGGACATTCTCCGGTTTTTATAATATCTTTAAGTGATTTTTTCATTAATTCTGTTACTATAATAATTTGTCTTCTTTCTTTATCGTGGTATGCGCTTTTTAGCAAAAGTAAGAACGGATGTTTTCCCACCGAGTTCGATACATTAACTTCGGATATAGCGTTCCATGTACCAGCGTCTACTGTATGTCCATAATCTTTTTTCAATACTTTTGCCGCATATTCTCGTCGGTTGTTTCGTTGCACACATAACCATATATCAGAAAATGAGCCTTCGCCAATTTTTTCCTTTAGATCAAATTCAGAATAAAAATTATTGAAATTGTCTCTACTGGATAGTAGATTAGGTGTATTATTTGACATTAGGTCGAATAAAACTAAAAATGTAAAGTAAGTATATAGTCTAAATTAAATATTGTATTAAATATGTACAATATTTCTACTTTATGGACATATAATTAAAACGTTTTGGTTTCCATACAAACACTGAAAATATATTTTCATTATTTTATTTCTTAAAGGTTTATTAGGCCAGATGTTACATTAAATTTGTATTTATTTTAATTTTAAAACGTGTGTGTTATAATGTACCTATAATCTATATATATAAAAATGGAGCGTGAAAATGTCGTTATACCTCATCAATCAAAAATGGCTTGTCCGATTTGGCTCAAATTTTTTTAAGATGTTCGTAATTGCCAGGAGAAGGTTTTTATGAAAGGAAATTTTAGGAAAATCCACCGTAAAAGTAGGAAATCTGGATGCAAAACATACAACAGTGGCTCAACAGTGTATTATACTGGGTATTATATTGGGTGCTATTTGTTAATCGGGCATGTTTGTTGATTTGTATTATTATTTTTGTCAATATACAATAATATAATATATCCTATTAATATTATAAACGCGAAAGTTTGTGGCTTTGTTACTCTTTCACGTAAAAGCTACTGGACCGATCTTTATGAAATTTTTACACCGTGTGTATTTTGGTCCAACTTAAAACTAGGCTAATTTAAAAAGGGAGAGGACCAACCCCGGGAGGTTCTCAAGCGGGAATTTTGAGATTTCAGATGGAAATTTTTGTTTATAAATGGTTGCCATGGGTTTTTAAGCTATTATAATAATAATAATAATGATAAAAAAAATAAATATATTTGCTTTACTTTTTAAATACAAATTATATTTAATAGGATTAAATAAATTGATTATTTTAATCAACCGTAGGTGGAATTAAGTAAAAACGACAAACTTGGTATAATTTTGATATTTTAGAGTAAAATCTTACACTTCCGTACAAATAGCACGGGGTCCGCGATCTACCGCAGGATCTGCTGCGATTCAGAATTTTTATTCCGGGCAACGGAAATGATAAGATAAATTTTGAACACCGTACACCGAATATTAAATAACGAATTGAACAAAGGTTGAGTCATATAGAGTTCATACATTTAAAGGGGCAACGAAGTGCACGGGATCAGCTAGTATTATATATATATATTAATGAATGTTTGTGTGTATATTATATTTAGACCTCTGGGAAGAAGACAGGCTCTCACGCCTTATAGAATTTTCGGATTTCGTTTATTTTTTTTTGCCCGATTTAGCCCGATTTTGAAAATTATAATTATAGAAGCTGGAATATGCATTTGAAAAATGCACAATATTTGTCCTTTTTCAAACGTATTTTTCTACTACTATTTAAACTTTAAATTTTAAAGTAAAATAAAAATTCGAGCATTGATCCGACCTGCTAAAACTTCTCATCTTTCAGATAAAAAAAAATTGACCAAAATCCGACATATCTACGAGGTATGAGAATTTTTCCTATGAAACCAATTTTGTTCATCAAAATAGTGCTTCGGTACAAGTAATCGAAGTCTAGCACTGACTTGTGCATGCGTGTGCGTACATATCTTTATCAGCGAGTGTAATTATAGCTCACTCATACTAATATCGATTTACATTGAATTAATTGCCTAAATTTTACTCCTTAATAAATGACCGACACCCTTAAGATACATTTTGAACACCATACACCGAATATTAAATAACGAATTGAACAAAGTTTAAGTCGTATAGAGTTGGTACATTTAACGAGCAACGAAGTACACGGGATCAGATCGTATATTATTATATTATAATTATAAATTGGTATATTTAATTTTCTAATGGAATTAGAAATGCATTAAAAATTATGAAACTAGAAACATTTTCTCTATTTTACACACGTCAAAACGTATATTTACATTTGACATGATACATTCATACATCCTACGATTCCTACGTAATATTTTACCATGTATGTACTTACTAATTATAATCAATAGTAGAACGTAATAAAACACACGTGTATACAATCCTACAATACCCTCCCTTAGTTAAAAACCACCCAATGCCCTAAGTAGCAGCGGGTTAATTAATGGCAAAAAAAAACAATGTAATGAAAACTTCCACTTTTTGTGATTACATTATTTTCATTATTAAAATTAAGGTACCTACCACCTTACTTATTAAAACCATTTAATAAAATAATATTATCTGGTTTCTTAGAATATTTTTATTTTATTATTTTGGTTTTTAAGAAAGTTATAAGTATTTAATTTATTAATTTTTTTTAATTACCTATTACAAATTAATAATAATTTTTTTTTAAATAAAAATATTTCGTCACACAGATATGATGTTAATTGTTATTCTTTATAATCGTTATAATAGCCAATAGACAATAGGAAGTAGGTTCCTTAATTTAAATTTTAAACAATGATTGAATACGGAGAGAGATTTCAACATTTATATTAAACGTGTGTAAAGTGCGGGTCACATTATGCTGGTTGCCAGCTGCTGCTTACCAGCGGCTGGCAATCTGGTCACACTACTGTTGCTGCTACTCGCACTCACCAGTTAGTTATTCACTATTAAGCAACCATGTCGTTTGTCGTTTCACGTAAAAAGCTAATTAAGCAGTTGTTAAGAGAGGGTGCCGGGGAACTTATACTCTGTTCAGGTTAAGAGTGCCCAAAATCGCGCATGCATACTGAGCCGCCGACAGCTGTCAGACCTCCCAGGCGACACTGTGATAGGTCAGCATTGTCGACCGCCTTCGTCGACTGTCGGATTGGACTATCTGCCTCCGTCTATATACAGATGGTTGTGCGTCGGCACACCAGAGCGCTCCCCATGCATGCGCGAACAGAACCAGTTTTCGTCTGAGCGACTGGGCACTCTTAACCTGAACAGAGTATAGTTTAGAAATGCTTAACTAGCTTCACCAAAAACAGAGACGATGGTGGGTCAGGCCATAGACACAAAGAAGGGAAGAATTAGAGCAGGGTTTCCCAACCGGTGTGCCGCGAGGCCCATCTGGGTGTGCCGCGAAATTTCACGACTATTAATAAACGTTTACGTAAAATGTCGATAACAATTGGTTAAAATAGTTTTAACGATTCTTTTATCGGGGATATTGTTCACTATTTCTTATTAAATAATTTAAAAGTCAGTTAGGTAGTCGTTTGTCGTCTGCTGTGAAGTACATAATATGTAATAAATATGTAATTATAATATATATGTAATTATTATAATTTTCTTATTACCGTATTTTATTTTATTTTCGCTCTACGATTATCATTCGTACTACTTGTGGCGCACGATGGATCGTTTTTTAATTAAGAAACGTAAATTAAGCGAAGAATTGCCTGGTCCAAATAATGCTCATAGAGTTGATGTTGAGGAATTGCCTGGCCCGAGTTTCAATCCTCCTAATGTTAAGGTGAGTGCGAGTAAAAATTCTAACATACGATCAAAAAATATTATTCGACAATATCAAGAAAGCTATTTATCATTTGGTTTCACGTCGAGTGGTGGAGAAATACCTATACCTCAATGCCTTATGTGTAGTGAAAAATTATCTAATGAAAGTATGGTACCAAGTAAGCTGAAAAGGCACCTGCTTACAAAACATGGTTTTGCGTCTGAAAAGCCTCTAGAATTTTTCAAAAGGTTAGCCTCAGATCAAAACAGTCAGGCTTCAAAGTTTATAAAACAGTCAACTGTATCAGATAAGGCACAGAAAGCTAGCTATGCTGTCGCGGAACTGATAGCAAAAAAAATGAAATCTCACACAACAGCCTAGTCAACCATTTTAACAGCATGCTGTTAAAATTTTGTTTGGTGAAGATTTTGAAAAAGAAGTTAGAAAAATTCCGCTATCTAATAACACTGTCCAAAGACGTATTGAAGACATGTCTAAATGTGTTGAATTCCATGTAAATGAAAAACTTAAAGCAGCTGAATTGTTTGCCCTTCAATTAGATGAGTCTACAGATGTAACCGGAAAACCTCAGGTCATGACATTCGTAAGATTTATATGCGATAATGAGTTGATAGAACAATTTTTATTTTGTAAAGACCTTCCTGAAACTACAAGAGGACAAGACATTTTTAATTTGGTTAACAATTATTTTACCACTGCCAATATATCATGGAAGTTTTATTTGAGTATTTGTACAGATGGGTGCCCTTCAATGATTGGTCATTTAACTGGTTTTTTGGCATTAGTTAAGAAAGAAAACCCAGATACTATTTTCACTCACTGCTTCATACACAGAGAAGCTCTCGTTGCTAAATCTTTGGTGCCTGAGCTCAATGAAGTATTGCAAACTGTTGTTAAAATGGTAAACTTCATTAAAAGTAAACCTTTGAAATCAAGATTATTAAATTATTTGTGTTCTGCTATGGATAGTGAGCACACCCAGCTTTTGTTTCACACAGAATGGCTATCTCGTGGACGTGTCCTACAAAGATTTTATGAACTTAGAGATGAGTTGTTATTGTTTTTTACTTGTGAAGAATCACAATATGCTGATTTTCTCAGTGATGATTCCTGGTGTGCCAAAGTAGCCTTTCTAGCAGATATATTTGAAAAACTGAATTACTTAAACAAGTGCATGCAAGGAAAGCAAGAGAATATTCTCACATCTACAGATAAGATTAGTTCTTTTCAACCTAACCACTGATTGATAACATTTTAGAAGATTTGAAAACAAGGTTTCTTAGTGAAGAAACTACAGCTATTTTTCAGTTAATGAAACTTATACCTTGTAATACAATAAACATGTCTACACTAAAATCAAATGACTTAATCAATGCAATTATTATACATTACTCATTTTTGGAAATAAATGCATCCATATTAAAAGGAGAAGTGGAGTTATGGAGATCAAAATGGATTTCAAATAAAAATGAAGGTAAATTACTATAGAATAATAATTATGACAAATCTAAGTATTTTTCATGAAAACCAAAATTCTATTTAAATAATATTCAGGTGGTAAAGTACCAAATGATATAATGATAACTATTGATGAATGTCACCCAGTATTATTTCCTACAATAAGACAAATTCTTTTTTCTTCTTGCTACCTTGCCAGTAAGCATTGCTTCAGCTGAACGTAGCTTTTCTACTCTACGCAGGTATGCTTTTTGTTGGCTTAGCCATAGTTTGTTTGGCTTTAACACTATATTTGTCTATATAGAGTATATAGAGTATAATATAGTTTATCTAAAGATATATAAAGTTATTACTTATTACATTAAGTTTATTCAAATACCAATATAAGTTAACAGTTAAAATTCATAAACGAACCAATAAAACTTAAATTTTATTTTATGCATGCTGCACTTTTTTAAATGGATGATCTATACTATTTTAACTGCTTATATTTTATTATAGCTTAATCTACTTGAACATTAATAATAAATAGTTTATATTTTGAGCAACAAACTTTTATATTGATAATTGCCTGTAACAATGCTTTATAACTTATGAATCGCCGGATATCCCCTACTGTTTTTATTTATTTTTTGAGTACCCCTGCTAATTTTTTTATATGGGGGAACGGTACAAGCTAATGTCCGAAAAATGTTTTATTAAAATAATAAAATGTGAATTTCATTTGATGTTTTACAACGAGTTTTACTATTTAATATCAAAATTATTTTTGATATTAGTTTAATAAATAATAATTAACTAAGTATAATATCACTGTGTGTTTTGAACAACTAAAAAAAAGGAAGAGGAAGTTTTAGATACATATGAGTGACAGAAAAAAAAAGACACAACCCAGTATGTTTAATAGGTTCCTATGTATCCGCCGACCCTATTAAGAGCATAAAAAGATATTCTAAAGAAAAGAAAAGTCGAGTTGATGTACCAATGCCAAAATTTGTTGAAGAATATAACACCCTCATGGGTGGTGTTGACTTATCAAAATGTTGGTGGCGTTGTATAGAACCAGGCTAAAAACACATACGTGGTATATGGATATATTTCCCAATTACTTGACATATATATCAATAATGCTTGGTTGGCATATCCAAGGGATTGTAACCAATTAAAAGAAAAAAGATTATGAGTTTAAAAGAGTTTCGTATACATGTGGCCATAGCACTATCTGGAAAAGAAAATACTAAAGTGGGTAGAAAACCTAACAAAAATAATCAAATGGAACATGACGTACAAAAGATCAGGCGAACTGTGATTCTTAGACCTATTAGTGACATCAAATTTGAAGAATTTGATCCAACGCGTGTATCAAAAGGTCGATGCCACCGTTGTAAAAAAGATCAGACAGACTACATCTATACAAAATGTGATACACGTTTATACACACTGAAAAAAGAGACTTTTTCAACCAAAAAATAAATTTGTATTCCTATATAATATATAAGACTGAATGATAAAAGTTGTCATTAATTTTTAATATTTATTTGATTTTTATTGTTAATAAATTGGTATTTATTTTAATTTCCTGAAATGTTAAATAATAAAAGTTACTTTTATGTTAAAATTTCATAATTTTATACTGATTTTTTTTATAAATACGTGATTTCTGGCAATATATCTTTTTCGATACCTACATGAATACTAGTAGGTATTGGATTATGGCAATGTATATTTTAAGATACAATTCATAACTTTGAACTTTCAAGTCCAATATTTCTGAATTCAGTGATCTTAAATTAGTTTGAAATATCTACTTTAAAATTTCCATTCAAATATTTTTATGCTTGCCAAGTTAAGGGTTAAGGAAAATTACACCAAAAATACCTTTTTTTATTTTGCGACTGGCGACGATTTTGATACCCACAGTTGGGTGGAATATCTCTCACATACCTACTTCAAACCTATTGTAATTAAAAAAAATACTCCGGACAATCGGCATGGCACAGTAGGTAGCTGTTATGGATGTGTTAAATTTGAATTCAATGATAAACCATTTAATACGATGCAAAACGGTTATGAACGGATTTGGTATGTCAGCCAATCATACTTTATTTTATTTCTTTTTGGTACCGTAATTTTTGAAATGAATAAAACATATGGAGACAATAAATTATTTACTACGTTTACATGCACAATTAAAGGCGGTTTTATCATGTATCATAATTTAAAGCGAAATTAACATAAACCGTTTTTCTTTTAAGGACGCTCGAATATGTAGTTTAACCAAATTAACTCATATCATGTAAATTTAGTAATTGTGTAGGTTATCCTTCGTTATTATTTGTGAATACCATAGACGTATAATATAATAGACTAGGAATCACGGTTAAAGATAGTATGGTTACCCAACGAATCTAGAAAAGTGTCTACCGAAATGAATCTTCATTATCAGTATTAAACAGCTGAAGACTTACGCACTAACTCTTATTACTTGTAGTGACTATAAATGCAATTACCTTTCAAATGTAAATTGTAGTTCCGTGATGGCCACCATGACATATAAGTGCTTAAGTCTCCAGCTGTTTAATTTAACTTCCTAAAAAAAAACAATTTTTACCCTTTTTAAATTAGCCTATCTCTTCCCAGAGGTCTAATATACAGACAAATATTCATTTATACATATAGTTGAACAACAAAAAAAATTGTGATTAATTTACTCCTTTTGGGTGTAATTCGCTCTGCATAGGTATGGAAGCAAAATCATACTAAATTTTAATTTTTAGCCATCTCGCGTGAGTTTCTCATATGGTAATGCGAACAGTATATTATCAGGTAGGCAATCTATCTGCTGTAGATTGCGGACACATTGAGGAGAGAGATAAAATATAGATAGCCTATATTAGTAGTATTAGTACAGCTTTGTAGTTAAAAAAAAATTTGTATACAATGTACCTAAAATAGTATTGGAGTCGTAGTTGATCATCCCGAATTTTTAGGAATATTTAATATTTATATATTAATATATTTTGGTGGGTTATTTTATTTATTTTAATGGACAAAACGGCTAATTTTTGTAATTAGCTTTGTGAAAGGTGTATGTTATCGGTGTGCATTTTATTTTTTTAAATATAATTGGAGTATTGGTGTACGCGCGATGAATGAGATTATTTTGGACGTATCCTAGTTGGGTCCAAGATAACATTTATGATAAATTTAAACAACTAATTGGGTCCGTCCATAAAAACGATAACATACTAATTGGGTCCGATTGTAAAAACGATAACATACAAATATTGTAATCTGTAATTTACAAGTATTGATATACAAGGCTGGTACCGAATTCCGTCCCGGGCCCCCTATGGTTCCATAACTGAAGACCGAATTCCGTCCCGGAGGCGGATAAACTATGTCCGAATTCCGTCCCGACTAATTTTAGACAGTATTAATATGACTGCATACGAATTGCGTCCCAGAATACGAAAATATAAATCGCGATATCCGAGTTGCGTCCGTTGTTTTTGCACAACACATCCGAATTGCGACCGCGATTTCCTCCGGACATGTAGGAGTTGCGTCCCGGTTAATAATTGATTAGTTGGTTAATATTATACATATTTCCCTTCCCACTTTTACAGACTGAGGACTGTCATTTGTATAAATGGTGTGGTTAAAAATTTATATTATAAATTATTTATTGTTTTAAAATGTGTTTAAAATTTGTATAAATGGTGTATTGGTGTGGTTAAAAATTGTATATTATAAATTATTTATTGTTTTAAAATGTGTATAAAAAATGTGTTTAAAATTTGTATAAATGGTGTGGTTAAAAAAAGTATATTATAAATTATTTATTGTTTTAAAATGTAATGTTGATTTTGGAATCAATCGATCAATACCATCTATCCTAGTTTGTTATTGAGTTTTTGACGATTTAAAACGTTTTCGTCGTCTTTGTCGTGTTCGTGATTTAAAGCACTGAAAATTATTTCTTCATTTTATTTCATTTTAAAATAACACTTGCATAAACGTTTTGAACAAGACCACCTCTGAATATTATCATTTAAATATTTTTGAAAAGAGAATTTGTATCCATTAATACAATATAATAGTTTATTTTTTTCACTGAACATTTTAATTATTTCAAGATTTTCCATTGCAAAGTTAAATAAGTATAAATAAAAATATATAAAAATATGATGATTAATTGTCGAACATGGAATGTCGAAGTGTGACTGTCGACTGATGCTAACGCGAACAAAATTAATTTATAGATAAGATATCCATAATCGAGATTCGAGATTATCTACCAGTTTATCATCAAACATTATTCTTAGTCGTTGAAAAATTCGTGGACACAATTCGCACATGTCGCGAGAATACCGCGGACGCAACTCAGATGTGCCGTGATAAAACCACGGACGCAACTCGGACAATATATATATATTAGGGACGCAATTCGAATGCGCCGATTAATATATCGTTTTTATTGCAATTATTCGCAATAAAAACGTAAACGATTTAATGATCGAAGTTCCCTCAGTTTCATATCTTTATCGCCTAATCGGCATTTTAAAAATAGCTTAATAGTAGATATTCCGCATTACAAAATCGTATTAAACCGTTTTAATATCGAAACTATATATGAAGAGGCGTCAGTTATTCGCCAGAAATTCACGAGAGTGCATCGATTGTTATTTTTTACGTTTTTGTTCGTCCGTTCTTTTATTTATTGCAGTATGGCTGGTACGAAACAGTGGTAGGTGAGAAAGGCAAACCTATAATAATCGTTGAAGGTGCGAAATTCCGTCGACAGAAACAGTTAGCAAATAATGTAGTTAGGTGGACATGCAGTACTCATAAAACATGTAAGTGTTTTTTAAAAATTGACGAAAATGGCACGTGTTTAAGCGATTGTTTATTGATCCATAACCATAAAAAAGATAATATCCAGAAATTAGATCGACAAAAAATAAGCAATTCAATAAAACGAAAAGCCGTCGATGATCGTTCGACCCTCAAAACTTCTCCAGACTGAGTTGCAAAAATCTGGTTCTCTTAACCTCAAAATACAAGATGTTACATTGATAAGAAAAAACGTTGGATACACTAGACTTACCCATTTACCAAAACTACCGAAAACTTTTTCAGAATTTCATAATGCACTGAACGATATGACATTACAGACAAACGAGAATGAGACGTTTTTACTTCATAAAGATGCCGATACAAATACAAAAAAATTGACCCAATGCTCAAAAGTCACGGCTGATGGAACATTTTACAGTGGCCCTAACCCTTTTCTACAAGTTTTTTGCATTCATGGGCTTGCTAATAATGTTTTTATACCGTTGATGTTCTTTTTGTTGTCAAATAAGCTACTAACATCTTATGAACGAGCTTTTTCCTTTCTTTTAGAAAAAATAAAATCACTTAATTTGAATTTTGCTCCCGATAGCATACGTGTTGACTTCGAACCTGCGATTCATGCAGCAATTAAGAAAATGTTTCCTCATATTCCTGTATTTGGCTGTCGTTTTCATCTGGGCCAAAGCTGGTGGAGAAAAATACAGAGTTTGGGTTTGAGCACTGAATACCGAAAATTTGACTCATCGATTAGTATCTTTCTGAGATCGTTATTTGGATTGCCATTTTTACCTCCTAACGCAGTTAGTGATTCGTTCGTATTCGATTTTGTTTCGATTAAACCTGATGATGCCAGAGTAACTAAGTTCTGTGATTATTTGCTGGATACATATATTTCAGAGAGTGCTCTTTTTCCACCATCTATTTGGGCTGAATATTCACCTTGTGTATCCCGTACCACAAACAATTGCGAGTCATTTCATTCGAAATTCAACAGTTATTTTTATACTTCAAAACCAAACATATTTCAATTCACAGAAGCTGTAAAAGCAGTGCAAACTGAAATTTATATCAAAATGGGGAGTACATTGCCAAAATCAAAAATAACATTGGAGAGAGAACATTTTTTAAAATGATAAAATGATGCTTTGGAAAAGTCGAAACATAGATCGATACGAGTTTGTGTGTCAGGTGTCGTCTAAATTTTTACCAGCCTATTTCAAATCTAAAAAATAATAATATAAAAAAAAAAAAAAAATTAAAATAATAAATAATTTAAATACTAATTACAGATAACATGTATTATACTTATACTCTTAAATTTATTAAAATACTTATATGACTGTCATATTTATACATAAATGGAATATACTGTAATATAAATAAATAAGGCTGTATTGAAGGATTTTACATTTTTGTTTTCATTATTTTTGTTACTGCCACCTATATCATAGTTACATGTAGTAGGACGGAATTCAGACATAGTTTATCTGTTTATCCACCCCCGGGACGGCACTCGGACATAGTTGCTCCGCCCCCGGGACGGAATTCGGTCATTTTCAGCAACCCGGGACGGAATTCGGCAATTGCCATATACAATATTGTTAAAAGCAATACAATTAAACCATATATGTATCAAAATATATAGCCAATATTCACTCAATAGCAGTATTCCAGATGTTAAACGTTATACAATGCCAGTATAACTTAACAATCCAATCCAGTTGTCCACTTGTACCTACTTTCTGTCTGAAATGGAAAACTTTAAGTTAATGTTTAGTGAAAAAGGAAAACGCGTGTACGTTACGCCCGACGGATTTAAATTTTCATTTCACAAGACTCTATCAAACGATGTTGAACGATGGCGCTGCGTCCAAAGATCTTGTAAGTATTTTTTTTAAATGTAAAAATAATGTATTGATTAACGAGTCATCATCACACAATCACGCATGTAATGAAGAAAGTATACTACTTAGACAAGCGGTTAGTAATAGTGCCAAAAGAAAAGGCTTAGAAGATATTTGTGAAAGGCCTTCTAAAATATTGCATCGTGAATTAAAAAATGATGTTAATTTAACGCATAATGATTGTATTATAATTCGAAAAAATATTTATAATGCTAGAAAATCTATACAGCCAAAAATTCCGAAAACTATTAACGATATTAATAGTGTACTAAATGATTTAAAACTAACAACAAATCGAGACGAAAATTTTATACGCATAATACGTATTCGTAAAATTATGAGGAAAACACTCAATCTGGTAATGCCAATAATGAAACAGTAATTGAGAATGATGGGGAGATTATTGAAACTGAAAATGAGAATATGGGTAATACTAAGGTAAAGAGAACAAAAAGGGGTAGAGTAATAAAACCTAATAGATATTGCTGATCTTTAGGTATATAATAATTAGTAATATTAATTTGTTTTATATAATTATTTGAAGTATAACTAATCAAAGATTTGTATTTGCATATTAAAGGTGATTGTATTCTGTTAATTTAATATTGTTCTAAAATTAATTCTGTTAATTTAATATTGTACTAAAACTAATTCAATTGTTTATTTTTTTAAATTTGTGTGTTACTTGTCTGAATTACTAATTGTAAATCAATCTGAACAGGGGGGATGTGATATGTTATCATTATTATTATTAATGTTGTATTTTGTTAAATTATATTTTTTTTTGTACTTAACCTAAAAACACTCTCTCTGATTGACTATTTCTATTAAGAAAGTTAATTAGTTGTAATGTTATGCACTGATATAGTTCATAACCATGTGTTTTAAAATAAAGTCTTGTAATGAAATTAATTAAAAGTCTATAAATCAATATCAATCAATAAGGTAATGTCCAAAAGAATATAACAGTCGGTGTATTAACTGTACTCATGTGACGTATTTAACTGTGTATACACAGTGCATTATTAGTTACATTTCGGTTTAACGGTTATATATGGCAAAATGCTTTTATTATTGTTTAGGTAATTATATGTTATTTTATAACCCACTTGCGCTCATACATACTGAGCCGCCGGGTAGACGACCGGTGGTCTGTGATTGATCGGTGGTGTTCGGCGATCGGCAGTGTTCGTTGTAGTAGAGTAGCTGCTATTAGCGAAGATCACCGCTAGCGCTCCTTGGAGCAAAGACGGCCTGCGCGACCGAGACCAGTTTTCGTCGAGCGAGTGGGCAACTCTCACTGAATAGAGTATAGCTATTATAATTAAATCAAAAATAAAACACCGATACACTTATATTACTGTTCTACAATCTCTTAGAAGCAGTAGAAATTACTATATTAATCAACAATGTAATTACAACTCTAATTAGCATAATATATCAATCACCAAGTTTTAAAATGTGAACGAATGATTTCGAAAAAATTCTATGCAGCTTTCAAAAGATGATGATATATATTGATGACCTATACTCCAAACATATTACTTGTAGCTGCAAAACGACTATCCATAATGGTCGTAAAGTACATAAATATCTTTCAAATACTTCAACAATTATCTCATCACCTGACTCGCCCACATATTAATCATACATAATAATCCATACGACCAAAATATAAATCCGGACATACTATACTCTGTACCAAATAAGAGCGCACCCGGCGAAGCACGAAAACCAGTCGAAACTCGAGCATGACAGAGAGCGCTACCTCAGCGTGTGACAGTGTCGGCAGCGAATACGGCCGACTAACGGCGGCTAAAGGCGCGTTCTCATGAGTCAAGTTTAGTTGACCGATTATAGTTGATAAACAAAAATTGAATATAAAATAAATCAGCTTTTGTTCATACATTTCAACCGAGCAGCATAAAAGAAGAATTAAAAACGATTTTAATTAATATGTGTAAAAATCGCAAAAAACGTCGTTTTTGGGTGAGACAATGGATATTAAGAAGATAACAAAATAACAAAGAGAAATCCATGAGAAATGGAATATCCAATCTTGTAAAAATATAAACTTCAAACGCTCATAAAAATTTAATTTAATTTGCTTGTAGAAATTTTAGATTCTGAGTGGAACGATGAATGTATTGATCTTACAATGATGTGGGTTTTTTTTATTTTTTTTTTTGTGTCTGTCATCACATTTTAGGACAGTAAAAGTGCTTGGATTTTTATCAACAGTATCTTTTCTGATAGGAAAGTGAATCTAGTTGGTACTTTGGAGGGTCAAAAGTAAAATTTTTCCAGTAGTTTTCAAAAGCGCCGTGAAAAACAAAAGAAAAATTGAGGAAAAACGGGAATTTGTACGCAAAGATTTCGAAAAATCGATTTTGGTTTTTGGTGCAACTCTTAAATAAATGACCGTAGGTACATGCAATTTTGACTGAACGTTTATATTACCATTTTCTATGAAAAATACAATTTTGAAAATTGTCGACTCTTTTTCAGCTGTTTGCGGACAATCTCAGTTCTCAATTTTTTTAGTTTTTTTTTTCTATAAATATCAATAACATTTTATTTGTAGGGTAAAAAAGCTTAGAAATTTAATTTAAGGATTCTCATTAATAACTCATACTGTGTGAGAGTTCGTGATTTTTACATCACCAAAACCACCCATGAGGAAAGGGGGACACTTTCCTCATAACCTGTGAGCCGCACCGCGTGAGACCCGAGGGTCAAGTCGGTGGAACTCACAGGCTTTGATACACGCATTGGCGATTGAACGCCAAAGATTTATGTTGGGAGAGGGAAAAAATAAGTTTATTAAAATAAATAATAAGAGTAGTATTAGGGTAATCACGTGGATGCATTTTACAGGTTTTTCTAATGTAAATAATTTAAATAAAGATTTTAACATTTTTTTTTAACAAAATAATATATAAATTGGCGCATGGCAAGCGCATGAAAACAACATATTTTTATATAAAGTGGCACATGGCAAATACAAAAATATGATAGGGAATAAGGAAGCTTAATAAAATTTAAGAGCATGTCGCAAACAATTGTTTGAGTATTTTACTGTTAAACTCGGCGGCATGTGTTTTTTCCGGCCCACGGGAGGCGACACATCATATTTCTCATGATGTGTCCTCGCAGGGTTACCGGGAAAAATAACGCGCTTCGCACACAGTGTGAGGCACAAGGTGTTCAGGTGAGCGGCTTGCGGCAGCTAAGCGAAATGAGGGGAAAGAAAAAAAAGAGGATCCGCGTCTTGCGACGCCTATAAATCGTGCTTTTACAAAGGGGGGACAGAGGGGAAAGAATAATTACGACGTTTGAGCTGCACATGGTTGTTGATCGACGTGGTGTTGGCTCCGCCCGCCTCGGGCCCGTAGTGGTTAGCTTAGCCTATCATTTTGACTGGTGACCGGGTTGACAACGTAGAAAAACAAAATACACCGGGTTCCAACGTGGTATTGTGTGCGGTGACTCGGCTCACGAGTTATCCGGCAGACAGTCGGCAGCTCTTGGCAAAAGTGCGGATGGAGACGTCTGCTGTTGTAGCTAGGGACGTTGCGATACTATCGATATGATTAAGTATCGATACTTTTCTTTCGATATTTGAGTATTGTTTATTCGATATTTTCATTTCGATATTTACTCAGTATCGGTGGAAAATACTTAGTATCGAATCGGCTTTTTCTAAAATAAAATTTTTTTTTAGCCTTACCAAATTTTTTTTCTGCGTATTGAGTATTTTAATATTTTCGGTTTAGACCCTTCTAAAACGTGCTCCCGGAATCAGGGGTCCTCGAACCCCCTAAATAGTAGAATAATATAGAATAGAACCTCGATCAGCTGATAGCCGATAGGGTTTACGACGTTTACGTTCATCTATGATCTGATCTGTCAACTTAGGAAACGAGCCCGTCAACCAACATGATGTTAGATCCTTGTTGACCCGTACTACCGTACCTATTCTGTATTCGTATAGTAGTAGTCATGGTTAATTAATATATAGGTATGATCGCAACTTTGTGATACGCAGGTATCATGATTCATGGGCCATGGCCGCAACTGGCACTGAATATTATCACTTCGATTTATTTGTTAACAAAACATACAAATTATTAATTTCATGGGTAAATAAATCTAAAAATCACTGCCAGCTGAGATTCTTTTCCATGCTAAAATGAGCAATAATTGTACGTGCGCAACCCATAACGAAAATGCGTCTCAATGCAATCATACCTAAATATTTTTAGCCATGATAGTAGCAATGTTGTTATATTATATTATTTATTTTTAGATTTATATTATGTCATATTATTATGTGATTCGTAAGGCCTACGGGTTTTCCATGATATTGTCTATGTTATCATTGAACACTGTTATTCATTTTTGTACTCAACACTTTTTCTGGCTTCTGCCGACCGTCATGAACTCATAAATGCATAATACTCTTATACTCATAAGTTCGTAAATTGTAATCTGTAGAGAATTGACTGACGACCGTACCTGCTGGCTGCTACAGTGTACTAAATTTTACTAACCATCAGGTAAGTTCTAATTAGTAATTATTTATCTTACTATTTAAAACTTAATTTTATACTTTTATACTCATTATTTTATATATTGCTTATTCTTTAATAAATAAAGTAAAAAAAAATCCTTTTTACAGTATTCAGTATGTCACCACCTAGGAGTAAAGCGTGGAATTGCTTCAAAAAGATAAATGGTTCAGAAGCAATTTGTAAAGTTTGCTCGAATATTGTTAAATACTCAGGAAATACGTCTAATCTTTTTAAACATCTAAAGAAACATTCTAATCTACCATTAACAGCTACAACTGTAGATAATGTGACTGTTGAAATCGATTCATCACAGGCAATACTTAATCGCCATCTATCTGAACTGATTGAACCTTCAACATCAAAATCCAGGTAGTTTATAAAGATGAATACTTGAGGACCATATAACGTACTACATAATTGTAAATATTTATGTTATTTATTATAGTGATACTTCTACTAATTTATCGAGTGAGATCGCATCAAGTCACACACTTGAGGTACCTATTTTAAAATTTTAAACACACTACAAAAACTAATTAAATTATAGAACAATAGCTAGAGTACTTATATATTATTACTTTTGTTTATTTATTTAGGAAGAAATGGTTGATTCTCCTTTGCCAGCCAGACTTGTGGTGAAACGACCAATAGTGGAATCATTTAATAGAGCCAGTCATTTCCAAGGTAAATTAAAAAAAAAAGAATAATGACTAATAATATTGTTATTAATGAATAGTTTTATATTGCTAGAACCTTGAATTATTAAATGTATGATAATAAATAATATGTCGTTGGCCATAATTTATGGAAAATTAGTTTTACAAATAGATTAGGCTCTTTGCAATGGGGTAGCCCATTTGCAAACTACTTATTATTTTCCAAATGACCTGCTGTTTTTTAGGCTTATTGCGTACAGACTAACAGCAGTTTGACCTTTTAAGAACTACAATTATTGAATTATTATTATTCAGTAATAACCGTTTTACTTATTTTATTTTAAGCGTAATTTATTACTTGTACAATAAAAAAGATTAATAGAATTATTATAACATGTAAACTGAACAAGTATTGTACCTATTGTATTTATTTTGTGAAGTTTAGATTATTTTAAAATTTTTGACTATTGTAACTAAAATACATAAAATATTTACTTATTGTTACATGTGGTATTTTTCGTGGAATTTTGAGCTACATAGTACATTATTTTTAAAATAATTAAATAGTAATCAATTTTATTTTTTTAGAAGGAGGGTATCGTCATTCAAAGATTACAATGTCTTTGTTGTATTTTATTTGTAAGGACAAAAGACCATTTCACGTAATAGATGGAAAAGGATTCCAACATCTCCTTAAAGAGTTATCTCCATCATACAAAATTCCTTGCGCTACAACATTAAAACAACTTTTGGACAATAAGTATGATGTGATGAAGCAATCTCTCAAAGTAAGACTATCAGTTGTTTTGCATGTATCATTAACATTCGATGTATGGACCGAAACCATGGCAGAAAAGAGTTTTTTAGGAATAACTATTCATTTTTTGGAGAAAACTCTTTTGAATTCATTTTGTCTATCGGTTATTGAGTTAAAAGAACAACACACAGGTGATTACATTTCAAAAATACTTAATCGAACATTAGAAGACTGGGAAATAGAGAAGGATAATGTGGTAACCATAGTAACAGACAATGGTTCCAATATGATCTCAGCAGTAAACAAGACTTTTACAAAAATTGATGGTAAAAGTCGACACATACCATGTTTTGCACATACGATTAACTTAGTGGTAGAAGTAGCAGTTAATCATTCAAGTGTGAATAATTTGATATCTATGGTACGTGAAATAGTCAAGTGGGTGAAGAGAAGTGTAAAAAATAGTGATTGTTTAAGAAAGTCTCAAATGGACACTGGAATACCAGGTTCTGTTATAAAATTAATACTCGATGTTAAGACACGTTGGAATTCAACTTTCTACATGATTGAGAGGTTTCTTAAAATTGTAGATTGGATTAGTCCTATGTTGTTAAGAGATTGTTCTGGACCTAGCATGTTGTCTGCTTATGATATCGAGGCTCTTCAACAATTAGTTAGACTCTTGAAACCGTTAGAACATGTAACAACAGAGTCTTCAGGTGAAAAGTATGTGACCATTTCAAAAATTATACCAATGATAAATTGTCTTGTCGCACAACTAAATAAAATTAAACCAAGTACTGATAGTATATCTGATGTACAAGTAACTTTGCTACGAGAAATTAATAAACGTTTTGGATCAATTGAGTTGGTCACTTCAATTGCAATTTCTACTCTACTAGACCCTAGATTTAAAAATTTACATTTTCATGATGCAAATGCGTGCTCAAAAGCAATGTCAACTCTAAGAAAAATGATGAATAATGATCTAGTTGATACTACAACAACCGATACATTGAGAGAATGTGACGCTCCTACAACGGAAACATATAATTTTTGGAATCACCACGAGTCATTAGCACTCGGTCAAAAAACCAATAGACCCGATGGAAATATAAATGATGAGTTATCACTTTATTTAACAAATCCAGTGGTTCCATTGATAACCAATCCCTTGGAAAAATGGGAAGAACTAAAGAATATTTTTCCTTTACTGTATAAGCAAGCAAGAATTCATTTTGCAATGGTTGCTACTTCTGTCCCTTGCGAACGGTTATTTTCCAAAGCAGGCGCTACTATAACAAAAACTAGAAACCGTTTAACAGGAAAACGTCTAGAAAAGTTACTTTTCCTAGGTTGTTTCAATGAAGAAGACTGGTTTTAAAAATGTATTAATTAGTTTTTCATTATTAACTTGTCATTTCAAGGAGACATTATTATTTTTTTGTTATTTTTTTTTAATTAAATAAGTATATAAAGTTGTAGGTATTTATTTTGAAATTTGCAATAAACTTTGTTATATTTACTATATGTACCTATTTATTATTATTTTAATAAATGTTGAACTGTATAATGAAAAGAAGAAAAATAATTTTTTAAACTACATATTAAGTATACATATAGTATGAGTATATGTTATAAAATAATGAATATGAATGATTCTGTACATATTTTATTTTATTTTACAGTATTATATAGCACCTATTACTTATAATATATACCATTTACAAAAACTGTATATTGGGTTAATCTAAAATAAATTTATCTACCTCAAAACTTGCTTTGAATAGAATACTGCTAATTATTTAGTAAGTACTATAGTCTACAATGAACATAAAATGTGCATAGTTTATAGAGAAAATCAAAATCTGACTTATATGACTAAAAAACATAAATATAACTTATATTATTATCTGTATTTTGCATTTAAATATAATAATATTGTATTTATAAAAATTGATTTATAGTTTTATATTTTTATATTTTATAATAATAATTATGTTAAACCAGACTATAACGCACAATTTCTAACCCAAAAGTAGGTAATCATTTATTTTGGCTGTGGTCACTAACAGAACTGGTTTTTCAGAAAAATTACTTATCCACAATAGATAAATATTAGGTACAAATAGAAGTATTTAGAAAAAAAAAATTAATTATAAATGAATATTGTCACATCTTGCCCAAATAAATTTTTTTCAAAATAATATTTGCCCCTTTAATTTATAACAAGATCACAAACTGAGGTCACATAAACTTTTGAAATTATGACTGAGAAAAACCGAAAAAAATATATGTTTGTATGAAAAAATTAAATTCATTCGATATTTACTCATATCGATATTTGTTATCGATAAAATGATCGATATCGATATGAACAATCGATTAATGTAATGAGTACAAGTATCGATACTATCTTTCGATATGACATCCCTAGTTGTAGCCTTTGAAAAAAAGAAGTGTCGAGCGGTCGGCGACGGTGGTGTGCCGTAGGCCGTCGACGGAACTTGGTGCTTCATTTGTGTAGTGGGGCAGCCGGGCAGGTCAGTGTCGTACTTTTGCGGGATTATTACAATTAAATTGTGGGAGTACAGTATTGCTTGCGGGCCGTGCCGGCGGACGCGACGAAAGCGCTGGAGGCGACGGTGGCGGGCAACCGCGGCACGTCGACGACGAACACTGCATGATGAAGGGGGGAACGGGGAACATTTATTGCATAACACTGCGGCCATTTGTGCATTATCTACGCGCGATATCTACGTTTTATTACTAATGGTTATAGGACTAAAGGTGCGTTGACTTGTCAACAACGTTAGCAATAGGTGTGTTCGGGGAATGTTATTATGATTTATAAGGCTGAAAATTCCGTGACGTTACAACTGTAAGCAAAAAATCTAAAAAGTATATAAACACAGATATTTTTACAGTCATTTTAAATTGAAATTTAGATGTATTTACATATTAAAACCAAGAATAACGATTTTAGTTAAGTATTTGTTGTAATCTAAAGATATTATTCGTGAATATATGAAACTTTAGAGTATATTATTATATTTTATATACACAATGACATTTTAAAATGTAATTTTTTTGACAAAAATGTTTTTACCTACTGTAGTACCCTAACGCATAATAATAAAATATTCTTACATCAAACGATTTAATCTATCATTTTAATAGTAGGTACCTAAATTTAAAAGATTTTTATAATTTTGTCATTAGTCGATCAGTTTATTACCATAAAGATTTATTACTACATTTACGTACATCTATAATGAATTAAAACGATTAATATTTAATAACATATTATTTTAACTAGGTACCTACCTATGAAATATTTAAATTCACAGTTCGACCTCCAACGTTACTCCAACTCAAGTACTTCGCAGTTTTACTCCAGAGCTTGACAGTTTTACTCTAGAACATGACACTTCTAATCAAGACCTTGGTACTACTCATCTTGTGGAAGATAAACTGCCCATGTGAAAAACAGTTTTCTCGCAAATCTATTAATGCAAATTTAAGAGTTTGGCCTTGAGACTTGTTTATAGTGATTGCAAAACAGACTTTGAAGGGAAACTGTAATCGTTTAAATTCGAACGGATGATCACTCGGAATTAAAGGGATTCGTGGTACAAACACAGTTTCCCCTTTAGCACATACAGTTAAAATTGTGGCTTCTACTATATTGCGATGTAAAGCTTTACTTTAAGCCTGGTCCCATTGCACAGTTTAGGTGGTTTCAAATTTCGCAACAACATAATAGGTGTGTGGTGTGCCCACACGCAGAATAAGCCTATGATATGGCATACCCGGTGGTTTCAATGAATTTAAAATTTCAACCGGATAATTAGTTGCATCGTCCATGTTGACCACCGTATCTATCAAAGTTTATACTTTTTCTTCCCCTTCAAAAGACATCAGCAGTGTATCATTGATAGCCGCCGCTTGGTAATTTTTTGGAGTGAGTATAGCACGTTCACACAACCATTCCATAGGCTTATCATGAATATGAGCAATATCTGGATAAATTTTTGATATTAAACCCTGAACCGTAGTTACAACTGTGCACAAATTTTCTGAGATAGTTATCATTTCACCAAACGATTGATAATCACCATTTCCAACAGGGTTCGCAGTTTTAAACATTTTGTTTAAAAACATTTGTTTTAAACAATTGAAATTAAACATTGTGTGTTTAAAACAAGATATTTAAAACATGTTTTTTATGTTGTATGTTTAAAAATGTTTTTTATAAATTCTTTTAAAACTTAAAAAAAAATAGGTACAACATGTCATGATTTAAATTATTTTTTTTTTCCATCTAATTATGTTAAATAATAAATTATAATTCAATTTTATTTTTGTTCAATTGATAATTTAACAGTCCGATTTCTATATTATTATTGTAGTTTTATTTAAATGGTTAGTAGTACTTTATACAAATTATTAATTACCCAATTATTTATTTATTTTAAAAATGCAATATTCATTCACGTATAGTATATTAGTAATTTATATAGAAGTATAGGCATATAGTATATGCTATACCAATGTCCAATAGTGAAATAAATGACATTTCATATGATATATTTTTAAGCAAAACAATAATCACATTATCGACTGTTTTTTTATTATGAGTACCCAGAGTACCTACTACTTAGTACTTACTACCAATTTATTGAAAAAAAACTTACAACTAATATTAATTAATAATTAATTACTTTATAAAATATTATAATACAAATAAACAATATTCAATTTATTTCAGTCTTCTTTAATTTCTTTATTAATTCTAGACAAGATTATAAATAGGTAGATACATTAAATTTTTTAATAAAAAGTAAAACAATACAATACATTTTTAAGTAATAAGTTCAGTAACGAACTAATAACTAATAAGGCTAAAAACATTAAGTAATAAAATTATAATAATAACAACTTTTGTCAAATAACAATTTCAATTTCAAAAAATAACCTTTAACTCTTTAAGATAAAAAAAAAATAAATAATAATAATAACTTTTGTCAGATAACAATAACAATTTTAAAAAATAACTTTTAACTCTTTAAGTTTTTAAAAAAAAAATAATAACTTTTATCTGATAAAAATAACAATTAAAAAAAATAACTTTTAAGTTTAAAAAAATAATAATAACAACTTTTGTCAGATACCTAGTACATAATCTGATGACTATAAACAATAAACATTTTTAAAAACTATTAACTAATACAATATATAGAATTATAAATCTGTAATAATATACAAACAACTATTAAGTATTCTGTATTAATAATTAATTATTTGTTTAAATGTTTAAATATGGTAACCATTTTTCCTGCTTTTTGTATTCCCAATCGATTTCGAACTTTTGAATGAACGAACCCAAATGTCGAGAACACTCGTTCAACTCCTGCACTAAATGCAACAGCCGAACGCAGTTGCATATTTAAGGGTAGCATTTTTTCAGAAATATTATTTCTTAATGCTAACCACCATGTTATACTATAGCTTTATTTAAAGCATTATTGGAAAAGAGATAGTCTTTGAGCGGGGTTGTCTGAGCTTTAAATTTAAAAATTGCACACATAATTTCAGGATGGTACTCTAATACATAATTAATTCCTTGGTCCATTTCTTCCTCATTTAGATGTTGTCCTTTATACTTTGGATCAAGTATATTGGCCAAATAATGATATGGTGTCATAGCCGTTTCGTAAAATGTTGAAATGTTGATTGATCAATTTTAGTCTTCAAGCAATATTTCAAATTGATTTTTAAAATCAATCCACACTTCACTTACTTCACTAAGAGTACATTTATTGAGTTCTTTGAGTTTTATCAAGAGCAACAGATATTTTTTCAATATTTACAAGTGTTCTTCTGCATATAGCTGACCTATTATCTCGACATACGTTAACTAATATTGGCCAATTAACAATATATGGTTCTAGAGTCTAGACAATCACAATATGTGTTTCATCTTACATCTAATGGTAGAACGAGTGACTTTCCAGGTCCGTTTCACCAGCCCCCCGAATATTGAACTCTCGGATTTTTTTTCACTTAAAATTAGCATGAATTGGCAAGACTATTATCATACTTTGCATGACACTATTTAATGAGAAATAATCAATAAACTTTGGGTTAGCTGTTGAAACGTTTCGCCAGCCCCCCACCCCCCATCCTTGAAAAAAAGATTTTCCCGAATTTTTTTCAACCAATAATTATCACGCGATTAGCATGAATTGGCATGCTTACGCACGGAATTCGCACACCAATATTTACCGAGCAATCCCTCTTTCTTTAATTTTACCGTTTCGGCAGCCCCCCCCCCACCATCATTGAAAAAAAAAGATTTTCCATATTTGAATTCTGTTGAACCTATATTGTTTTTTAATAAATCTGTTAATATAAATTCAAAAACATCTGCCATTGAACAATACTTTGTAAATAATTGTTCAATTGTACAGACAAAATTAAAAAAATTTAAATGTGGATGAATAAGTCCACCTCTGGAAGTTAAGTTAGTTAGTCGTGCAACAGGTTCAACAGAATTCAAATATGGTTGCTTAATTGCAGCTTGGCAAGTAGTACATTTGAAAAAACGGATTATTTGTTTAGACAAATAACCAGTGACATAATATAAAATGCAGTCTATTAAAGGGGATAAATAATAATCATGATCGCTGACTTCTACAGTATCATCCAAACTCCAGTCTTCCTGTTCAATAGCAAAATCCAGTCTATCACGAATAATTTGTAATGATGATTTGTTCTTGTCACAACTATTGTAAATTTGTTTGATACTATCAAGAGTAATTAAATTCTCGGAAGGTTTATTGTTTTCAACAGAGCAATTTCCAGATTTGGGTGGTTTTAAGACACTGTAAACCGACAACAACTTATATAATTGCAAAAAAGTTGGTGTTGCAGGGTGATCATTTGCACCACCTGCCTGCCGAACTGTACCAAAAAAGCGCTGAAATTTTTAAATAAAATTATAGATGTAAAACAATTACAATGGACGTTTAACAATAAATATCATAGTTTTACTTCTACACGGTCTTGATTAATTTTTCCCGTAGGTATGTAAGCCATATTATAATGTTTTTGTAAGTATTTACATCCTGGTACGATGCATCTGTGTCCCGGCATAATAAATATTAAATTAATATAAAAAAATTTAACAATAAAGTATAAACTAAATACTATAATAGTAAAAAGTAAATTTTCACATATTTTAACGTTGATATCGGTTGTTGCGATTTTGTTGGGCGAACGCATATGTGGCGCTCATAGCGGAATTTTAACATTACTCCAACCATCGATTGACATACATACAGTTTTACCTTTCAAATCTCTTTCTATTGAATTCAAAGTGTTTTAGTAAACAGTATCTAGTAGTTCATTGCATACTGCTTTATCTGTTGGTAATTTGTTTCCTAGGTGTAATAATTCTACAAGTTTTTTAAATTCGTGATGGTTTACGGTATTGAATGCAGTATAGGATGAAAATAAGAATTTTCTCAACTTGAATATCGAACTTTTCTTTATCTTGTTTGCTAGTCTTGCAAACAAAAAAGTCGATGTTTGAGTTGCACCGTTTAATAGTTGAACGGCCTGGTACTTCTTCGTTTACTATAATAATGAAGAGTGACATAGTCAATTCTGAAAACATAGAAGTTTAAATTAGTTATAATTACCTGATTGATCTAATTCTGAGACCACTGTCGTTATACCTAGCGAAACCACAGCTGCCTGAGTTTCGCGACCGTGGACGCACGGTATAGATCGCGTCCCCAGGTTGCGGATAGGGGGAAGCCCGGTTCCCTCGGTTCGCCGAGTCGGGTAGCCGGCGAATAACTAATACCCGGCCGCGGACAGCTTCGATCAAATGACCTGTGGTTCCGGACAGTATGTCCTCTGGGCCGGTTCACGGTCGCCGGTTGGGCCACCGACCCAGCCGGTGGTGCTCTTAATACGAGTTGAGAGCACGGGCGCCGGAGTTCGCTCCGTCCAGCAGCCGGGCGTCTCAGTGTAAGTCGGGTTCGGGCATGTCTCGGGACACAGCGGTGAGTGTTGCGGGCTCGCGGCTGATGGCTCGTCTGCTTAGAGCCCCTAAGTCGGTAGGCGAGGGTGGTCGTCGCAAAATAGTCCCACCTTTGACCGAAAGGTAGGGCTGTCGTCAGTTTGGGCAGGGCGCCTCGCCTCGGCAAGCACCGGGTCGGGACGTTCGGCCAGACTGGCCCAAAGAACGGGTCCTTGCTGATGACGGCTCGAAAGGGTGGTGGCCAAGATTAATTTCGCACCTCGCGGACGCTCGTTAAGGCAAACCAATGCCCGTCTTGCCGGACAGAACTGGTAGCTCTCGAGGGGGTGACATTCTGACTGAAGACGCTTCAGTGTGAGTGGGGCCCCGTCGGCAACGACGCCGCTCACCGCGGGCGTCCAGTGATGGTTCACGCCCCTAGACGTCCGTTGCCGGTAGGAATCGTGGTGGCGGTTTTCTTACGAATACTTTGTGGTTAAGTCAATAGATGCTTATTTTAAGTTCTCGCTGACAGGCGAAAACCTCTGATGAACGGCCGCCACGACCCGGGGGCGCGAGTCTCCGGTTCGTTGTCGGTTCCTCTCGGGTGTCTAGCCGCTATACCGGTGTAGTATCATCGGAGGTTGGGTGTTACCAGAAACACTCGGTGTGGAGATAGCACACAGCCAGACCAGGCGAATTCAGGCGGCACTTGGCCTGTCTTCTTGGTACGGGACCTTGGTCCCGGTGCTCGTGGTCCCTAGACGACGCGCGGCCGGCGGACTGGGCCACCGTACGTCGACCGTGAACCTCCGCGGCTCTCGACTAGCGCACAGCGCTAATGTGAGGTCCGCGGTTGTAGCCGCAAGGCACCAAAACCCGGGAGTCTTCATGTCGTTATACCTATGCATGTTTTCAGATTCATTTAAATTGACCGTATCATCTTTGTCTGTTCTGGGTTGACACTTGTTTAAATGTTCTTTCATTCTTGCCACAAAAGCAACAATATATTTTTTGCAATACTTGCATATGGCTCTGTTACATTTTAAATTAGACGTCGAAACTAATCAATCTGATCTTTTACGAATAAAATGTTCCCACACACTATCCAAACTCCGACCTCCACTCATGTTCGTTTAATTTTAGTAACAAACCGTATGCAAATTGCAGATTATCGACATAGACTGTCACTGTTTGTGACTAGTAAGGTACTGACTACTGATTCTTAGACCATATACTTGTATAATATGATCAACCATCTAAGAACTGATAAGTGAAAACTGAGTATATTGTACGTTCGAGTCACGTTGGATGGAGCTGTAAGCTAGCATGGCGCAGTTCTTCAAGGAACAGCCAACAGCGTACAAAAGCCACACAATTTAGACTCGAGCCCCGCACGTTAATACTGGCCTATCCAAATCGGAGTAGGTAGGTGTTATCGTCCAGCGAACGCGCGACACTTTCCGTACCTAGGTACACATATCCGGCAACATATAACATTTACGTTCAGCGTGCTTCGACGCATAGCAGGCGTTTTGACTTCGTGTCGAAAAATATCTCCACCCACCTCTCGTCACCCATCATCACATATTTTCGGTAGTACGGACGGAGAAAAATTATGCCATCATCACGCACGTAGTTCGGTAATTCGTAACGACGAAAAACCAACTACGAATTTTTCCGTCACCACACCACCTATTGGCACCCACTCTTAATCCCAAACCTACACCACCCCCACCACACTCACCTCACCATGTCCCTGGCCTGCTGCGCCTCCGTCCTTACCTTAGTTACTAGTGTTGGGTTCTCCTCTACCACCCTGGGTACCGGTGCCGGTTCCCTGGGTGGCACGGTAACGGATGCCCTAGCTGCCCCTGTGGTGACCCGGTGTGTGTGGTCCGGCTGGGTAAGGACGGTGTTGCCTGGTGAGCGAGTTGGTACGGCTTTCGTTTGGGGTTGCTGGCTGTTGTGGACGTAACCGCCGCTCTACGCCCGCAGTCCGGTCGTCCCATCCGCGGTTGCAAATTGCCGCCCGCACCGGGTACTGCAGTAGCTGGCGGAGTGGCATTCGTCGCACCTGCGCGGCTGTTGTCGGCATATTGTCCGCGTTGATCAATCCCAGCTGGTTGATCAGGGCCGCTACCTGCTCCCATCTGTCACACCAATTTTTCTGGTTGCTTTTGTATGCCCTCTGAGTCTACAATGTGCCCCAAAAATGAAATTTCGGGCAGGCCGTTCTTAAGTTTTTTTGTGTTGCACGTTAGTCCGAATCTTTTTAGACGCTCGAGAACTTTGTCTAGGTGGGCCTGATGTTTGTGCTCGTTTTTTTAAAATACTACAATATCGTCTAGGTAAGACGATAGACGTGTACCATGTACTCGCCGTTCCTTTTAGTTGTGGCTCGACTGCCGTACACCAATCCGTGGGGTGTATACGTGCCTGCACTAATATCGATTCGGTATTAGCTATATACCTCACGGGGTCCTCGGCCCTTGTTCCTGTGTACTCGGGTAATGAGGACCTTGCGGCGCGCAAATCGTCGTATGGTATTAGTACCGATCGCTCTTGTGCGTGCGTGTGTGTGTGTATGGCGCGTACTGTGTTCATAGTGTTGATTACATAAATTTCCTTGATATCCCAAATAGTTTGACTAACTTCGGAAATAAACATTGCGA